TATTATCACTATATTAAAATGATATAATGAACATTGTTATACCCCAAAATTGTCCCTCCCTTTTCTTCAACACATTCTCCAAGGGTTCTCAAATGCTTAAGGTTGCCCAAGAATTGATCAGACAAATTCTCCTCCTAAGCAATGGATCCACAACTAGGGTTTCATCTTTCATAAGGAAATTTGGGTTTCTAAGATCTCAAAAGGAATTCATTGTCTCTTATATGTCTCAAGTAATGATCATATCAAGTCTCATACCTTGAATCACAAGTTTGCTCAATCAACGGCTCAGATGACTAAAAATCAAATGTATTGAGTAAAAAGCTAATTGTGATCAACATAAAGTCAAATCTCAAGTTTTTTGGTAAACATAAAGGTTTTAAAGTCATATTCATCATTTGATCAAGGATTTATCATGATTCATAAAGAAGGCTCTTAAATCATCGAAAGTCAAAAATTGCCAAATTAGAGTTTTTCTCAAGAAAAGTCAACTGAACTTTGACCAAGCTCAACTTTCGCATGCTTCATCAGATTTTCCTCAACCAAAGCTCATTTTTAAGGAAATTCAATTATCTACAACTTTGTATCTCTAAGATCAAGTCCAAATAATGCTTCATTTGAGAGATATGGGCCAATACATTATAGGTCATTTCAAAAGTCAACAAAAAGACACTTTTTTTCAAGGCAACTTACATTAAGATAACGTCTTCAAATACAAAATTGGTCAACATAGAGATTGTAGAGGACATCCTTATCTTTCGAAAAAATCCAAGATCACCTTTAAATAATGAAAATTGAGAGAGTTATGACCAGTGCAGGTTGGGAAATTTTGAGCAAATGCATGAAGTTCAAATTGAGAAAACTTGAATTTTTGGGCTATTGGGCTATTGTTTCAGAGTCCAAACATGTTCTAATCTCCATATACACCTCAGATCTTACTCATGCACCCCTTTATCTTTTTATTCTAATTATTTTTATTTTATTCATTATTAATTCCAAATAAATAGGATAATAAGACAAGGCTTATTACAAGAGTCCAAGCCCATACTATTTGACTTAAATTCAACCTATATTTGCTGGTATTCAGACATCAAAAGGGACGAAGAAAATATACTCAAGAACCCTATCTAAATTTCCAAATTTTGTCCGAAACAAGGGCAAACGTGCAACCCTTATTCCATCCATCTTCAACGGAAAGCAATTGTTCAAATCAATTCTAAGAACATTACAGAGTAAGATTGGATCACTCTTTATGATCAAAAATTCCTGAAACATGAATTCATGCATCACTTTTTTTTTGCATATTCTTTAAAAATCATATTTTCATACTCATGCTATTTTAATTGAAACTAACCATGCTAACATGTTCCTGAGACAAAATGATACAGGTCTAGCCCCTTGCATAAGGCCCATGAGGCCATAATTGCACGTCACCATGCTTGCACCGATTTTCAATATTATATTCGTATCTCATTATGCATATCGTTTTAGCCAAAATTAAGGCCACCAATGGATTCACAAGGGTTGATTTAGGGGGGTAGGGTCTTCTTTAATCACTAACACGTTTGTTTTGCAGATTTGGAAAGAATACCTAGCCGGAGAAAACGACCAGAGCTAGGGCTCCGGCGCTTCTCCGGCCATCCTGAACAGAGTTATTTTATATATTTTTTTATTTGAATAAATAAGCGGATGTATCACCACCTAGTGGTTAAAATGCATGCTAAGACATCACCCTATCAAGGCGTTGGTTCGGTCCCTGCCTTTTGCTATTTTTTCTATAATTTCTTATTTTTTGCAGGATTGTATACAAAATGTGTTGGTTCTCCTTTCCTTACACAGGGGCGCGTCTGGCCTGGTGGTGAAAGTGTTGGCTGAAAGGATAGACGACGTGGGTTCAACACCCATCTCTGGTAAATATTTTTTTAAACCTTGTTTTCTTTATTTTTACACCTAAAAACCCTAAATACACTAAACAAAAACCTTTTTTTAAAAACCCTAATTAGATTTTAGGTTTTTATGTAATTAATCGATTTAGATTTTAGGTTTTAATTTAATTAATCAACTATTTTTTTAATTAATTAAAAGCAATTTAGTTTTTTTTTAGGGTTAATCATCATTAAAATTTTTATCAAAAAATCACAAAAAACAATTTCCTTTTTCTTTTTCTTAGTCTTACAATTAGCATAGTTTTCTTTTCTCGTGTGATTTACGATTATTGTAACTGTTCACAGTTGGTAATAGTAATTAGGTTTTTATTACCCGCATTGTTATTATTTGTGTACTTCTCCCAAAGCAATATAATAGTCTAGGGTTTTATTTTCTGCTTTTACTTTCCGCATATTTATCACTTTCCTATTTTTGTTACTGTTACTGTTAGTAATTAGGTCATGTATGGCAAGATAAAATAAAACGGTAGCTAACCCTAATTTCAAATATAAGCATAACTGAAAACAACCACTTCGCACACGTGCACCTCAAGGGTAACCTCCCTTGACGCCTTCGATAAAATAATCATATCCCTAGAACATGGGGAGACTTTAGCATTGTCCCGCGAAATCAAAGATCGTAGTCCCACGATGACTCTTTCGATGTTGCTTTCGATAAACGATCTAGTCTCTTATGAAATTGCTAAAGCACCCCTACGATTTTTCTTCTATGACTGAACAATGACCCACGTCTGTCCCTTCACATCCAACAATAGAGCTTCCTACCAACTAATAGAACGAATAACACAATCTAAAGGTGGAGTAAAATTACAAGAAAGAATTTCAGTAGGTATAACGCTTGTAATAGGTTGCTCACAAACATTTCAAAAGAAAATGTTTTTTCACAACACTCTTCAAAAATATTTTCAAACAAAAACACTATGTACGCATTCTTGAGGACAAATACAAGAATCATTATAAAGTCTTGCCTTACTATTGGCATTTCAAAATATTTTCAAAACACACATTCCCAAAGCATTTTTCAAAATAATGTGAGCTAGCGATTAAGATCCCATAGATAACTACGGATGAAAATGGTGCTAAATCAATCCCTTTTCATAATCTACCCCCCGAACTCAAAAATCTCAAGGTATTTCCTGTTATTTTCACCCTTTCTTTATTGGATAGAAGAAAATTCGATGGGGACTATTGCTATCCGCAACATTTGCGAATAAATGCAAAACCATGTCAGTTCTCCCAACGTATTACAGAACTGGCGACTCTGCTGGGGAACTTAAAAAGAGGGGTTAATTTAGAGTCTTAGCTCACTTTTATTTGCTTTAAATTGTTTGCATTGCTTGCTTTATTTTAAGGGTTGTTTTGGCTTAATTTCTTGCAAAGATCCTACACCTGGATCTAGGGTACCCTAGGTAAGTAACAGTAGATCATGGAAACTGCACGACGTAGACTGATATGGTTGAAGTGATGACTATGTTAGTGCGACACATTGGTTGGTACTGGTGTTCCTCGAGTCAGTCGAGGAGAATACTAAGCTGTTGTGTGGTTTCATAAGCACTAAATGACCTTTAGAACCTTTAATTGATCCAACTTAGCCATTAGAAGGTAGTGAGATATACGGCTTTAGTGCAGTTCGAAGTTGGTCGACTCTTAGGTTTTTTTTGGTGGCAAGTCAGTTGCCATGTGTAATAGCCCAAATTTTTCCTACCTTTTTATCGAATCATCTGGCTTATGCATTCTGTTCTCATTTCATTTGCATACCTTCCATTAGGTTAATTGACACCTCATGCATCACAAACCAGTCATTTTAGCACGGGTTCAAGGATATTGAAGAATTAGTGTTGTTGTATGGATTTGAGGCTCTCATCTTCGCACAAGCTTATTTCTATTGATTTCTACATCAATCATTTGTTTGAAGCTAGGATTTTATTTCATGATATTCTTCATCATCAAGCTATGGGGTTATTCTCTTCTTCTCAACATCAAGTTGCAATCTTTCTTCAAGGCTTAAGGATTAGGTTTTTCATCTATTATGCTTCAATTGGGGATCAATGGATTAGGGCTCGATCTTATGGTTATCTTGAGCCTCTCTCCTTCAACATTGTGGACTTGTTTTAAATGATACAATTTTTGGTTCTCATCAAATACTTGTTCCTTCAATTATAAGTTAACTTGGATTACTGAGAGAAATGATTATTGATTTTGATTTGTTGAAAATTATGATCATGCTCGAATTTAATATTGGTTCAAGGTCTTATTAAGTTCATGATTTGTTAATTGTTGATTCAAGATAGGGTTTGGAGATTCGTTCATATGGTTTCAAGGAAGATTCATTCATTCAAGTATTATTCAAGGAAGATATCTTTTGATAAGATTTTGACCATTACAAGTTAGGGTTTTCAATTGACCTTTTTCCATCAAGAGAAGCTTAAATTTTTATTTGAATTACATGATGTAAAAGTCAAGATAAAGTTGCTCGGGATGTTTGGCCTTTTCCATAAGGTTCAAGGTTCTTTACAAGGAAGACTTCAAGTTTTCATCACATGACCATTTTTTTAGCTTCACATCATCAAGCCAATTAAAACAAAGTTTCATATAAAAAACAAATACTTCATTTAAAAACATTCAAAGTTACATTGTTCACTACAAGGGAAAAGTAGGAAGCTATTGCAAGATTCAAATGCAATATCACTCCAAAGTCATTATTTACATCGATGTTACAAGTACATTGCATCAAGGTTCATCATAAACCGTTACAAAACTATCATTATTATGTTTCATACAAGTCCGTAAAGGCATGTTTCTGTTACAAAACATCATCGTAAATCTCATGTTACAAATTTCCAAAACATTACATCATACAAAAATAATACACAAAGGAGTCAAAGTACATGAATCCATTGCTAAGCCTAAACCCCATGCCCAAACGTGCCATCTTCTCGATTTTCCTTGAATTGATACAAACCTATGCTCTTTCAAACCATCATCACCAATACTTCACTTGCATATCATGGAACCAACATAAATATGTCCTCAATCTTTCATGTGTCCAAATCCAAGCTACTGACTAATGTCACCAAGGCAGCCCTACCATTTTGAAGCAAACAAAAACCAGTTTAGAGAAAATTCAAAATTCAAAAAGCTAAATACAAAAACATAATAACTCAGGTGCATATAGGTTTGGAAAAATTGCCCAACATGTGATGTTCAATACCATTCGGGCATGGAAAGTAGTTTAAGTATTTGGAGCAGTTCAATTACAAATCCAGTTCTAACAAGTCAGTTGCCTAAATTCTAATTGGTTTCCAAACCATTGCCTAAACCAAACCATGACCTTTAGAATTAGATAACACTAACTTCCTAACATGACCAACTATTACTTACAGAGTTAAGTTTCTAACTGAAAATAACTAAATCAAAAACAGAGTAGCGGTATTAACCTCCTCAACAGAAAACTGAATTTAAACTGAATATAAACCCAACTCATAGAAAATTAACAGCTAATCATAGCATTAACAGAATAACTAACAGTAACCAACCTCCCAACCTTCCTAACTAACTAACAGAATTTCTCAACACCTAACTGCTTTCTAATCTTTTAATTGTCATAACAAAAAACTTAGACCTCCTAACTGATTCTGCCCGCTCATTCAACAGACGATAAAAGACTTCAATAACATAACATAACAAAAAAGAAATGATAACAAAAAACGAGAGAGAGGAATCATGATGATTCAGAGCATACAACTATCCACAGAAAATAAAAAAGAAGACTCACCTTAACACTTTCTGAAGAATCACCGGAAATCTTTATATGTCTCTCTCTGATTCAATACACAGATTCTCTGCATAATCTTCACTATCCCTACTCTCTGATTCAATCTTGGCATCACAATAATCTTCATCAATTGTACTAGATCCACAACACTTCTGGGCATCATCATCTGCACTTTATTCAATTCAAACAACGTCACCACTATTATTTTCATCACAGCAACCTTAATCACATCATCACTGAACCTGCAGCGCATCAACAACTCAGAAGCGAAACCAAAAAGAAGAAGTGAATTGAAACAGAAATCGTGAGAACGATAAGGGAGCAGAAAGAAACTAATGGCAGAAGCAAGGCTCCAGAAATTACCTAAGAAGATGATGTCGAGATGGAGAGATACGGAGAGTTTGAGACAATGGTTTCGCGGCGGCCGGAAAACGTAAGAGAGGAAATTTACACTAGCGTCGTTCGAGAGAGAGAGAGGGAGGAATTTCTTCTGTTTCTCGAGGAAGATCAAAGGCCACAAACTTAACCCTAGCATCTCCACCGAACAACACCTTTTTTCTCTCATATGTCACTTTTTTTTTCTTTTAATTTCATAAGTTAATAATTTATAATAAAAATATTATTGATAATTAATGATAATGAAGATTACATGTGAGTCTGTTTGGGCCTTTTGAGTCACTTGCCTTGCGTTTTTTCTTTCCCTTCTAAGTCCACCACTACCGTTTTGGTACAACATAAAGCTCGTGAACAAAAAATCACGTGCATCCTCCTGGTTGGGATTTAAGTCATTGTTGCTGGCTTACACCTCTTACCTTCAGCTTGCACCAAGAGTTATTATTTGGACCGAATTACTACCAAAGGCCCATCCTTGTTTTTTTGGTGAATGAAAACTGAACACAACAAAAAACCTGATTCTGGACCATTGATGAGTTGGTCCTAACGCCTGATTTCTATACTATACCCCTGGAATAAATCTGATACTCCTATTTCATTTATTAAATTTAGGATTTTTTTCCTTTTAATTTTTCTATGATAAAAAAGAGTAAAGTCAATAAAATTTGTTAGTTATTTTTAGTTGATTTTAAAAATAATTCTTTAGTTTTATTAGAATTTTTCTCACATAAAAAATACTTTTTCTTTTAGTATTTTAGTCATATTTTGACGCATTTGTTCATTGTGCAAGGTACATTTTTTATGTTTTCGATTATGTAACATAACAAGTTGTTGTATGATCGAAACATGCGGCTTATGCTCGCTTCCGATGTGACACGCCTTATTTCTCATCGCCCCGAGAAATTCATATTATATGTTTTTCTGATGCACATGATATTTTGTGATGCTTTGTGTAAGAACTTTTGATTACGCATTGCATTCGCAACACGCATTACTTTTATCTTAGTTGGATATTGTGATACGGTGGGAAGAGAACTGACTGTTTTTGGAATGCTGGTTCGTGTTTTGCATTTGTTTTCGCAAAATGTCTCGGTAAGCAAGAGTCGTCACCGTCTTTTATTTTATCCAACAAGGAAAGGGAAAAAGCACAGAAAAATTCCTTTTTCGAGATGTTTCTCGGGTTCGGGGGGTAGATTATAGAAAGGGAAGATCTTTTCGAGATGTTTATCCAACTTTCGAGATGTTTTTCGAGATGTCACCCAAGAGAGTGGGCACAGGATTGCGAGAGATGAAGATCTTTACCGCATTAACATCAACAAAGGAGTCAGAGTTCAGAAACAATACCAAGCTGTATATCAGAAGAGCCAGAATATCCTCGAATGCCTTGAAGTCTAGACTATCCCAGAAATAGTTAGCCTTACCAACCAAGAACTTAGTCAAAAAGCCCTTTGCTCCACTTCTAGTCTCCCAATTAGCCATTACCTCCTCCTTGGTCAAATGAAGGGCTGAAACAATCTCTTCGGGCCTAAGGGTCTTCTCCCAACCAGTAAACGGAGTCTGCTCCATAATAGAGATACCGAGCAGATCAGAGAACTCTTCTAAGGTGGGAACCAACTGGTAGTCCTGGAAAGTAAAACAATGGTACAATGGATCATAGAACTGGACTAGGACACTCATCATCTGCTCTTCCAATTTGGAGGTGACCAAACTGAGAAGATAACCATGTCTCCTGAGGAAGGAAGTAGTATCAGGCATCTTTGCAATCAACTCTTTAAGCAAGGTGGGAACTTGGACAAAGTTGATCCGGATGGTATTCCTATGCATGGGCATCATGATGACCTACAAAACAGAACAAAGATGAATCCCTCCTGTCTTTGAAATAGGTTAGTCCAATGCAAGATGTATGCAATTTTATGATGTCATGATGTCATGATAGAAAGCACATCACAAGTATCCACAAATAGTAAACATGGTAAAGGCACACAAGTCACACAGAGAGCCCTTAGATTTCAGGCTGGCAAGGAGCTTAGGTACTACCCTCTTTCAGTTCAGTTGGTTTAAACCTGTCCTAAAAATAATAACCGGGTTCTAGAGGATCTCAATATCATTGACTACCCTCGATCGGTCATAATTCCAGTTTAGCAACCTTTTCTTGCGGCCGGAATCATCGCGAGAGTTTAGTCTCAATGAGTGTAGCATACTGCTACTGTTTTATGGCCAAGTTGGTCAATTTAAAGGTTCTAAGGTCAGTTGGTGCTTAATGACCCCTTAGATGACTCATATTCTCCTCGTTCCAACACAAGGGATATCAGTACAATCTAAAGTGCCACACCAACATAGATACTACTTCAACCGTATCGGTCTACGCCGTACAGTTCCCTCACAGTTTATTGCTACTTACCTAAAGGGTATCCCCCATATCCGGGTTAGGATCTATAGTAACTCCGATACAAGCCCACAAATATAAATCATACAAAGCAATCAATTAAAAACACAGTGATCTAATCCTAAGGTACACCCCACTTATAGATATTCCCCAGCAGAGTCTCTAGTTCTGTGATACGGTGGGAAGAGAACTAACTGTTTTTGGAACGCTGGTTCGCGTTTTGCGTTTGTTTTCGCAAAATGTCGCGGTAAGCAAGAGTCACCACCGTCTTTTATTTTATCCAACAAGGAAAGGGAAAAAGCACAGAAAAATTCCTTTTTCGAGATGTTTCTCGGGTCCGGGGGGTAGATTATAGAAAGGGAAGGTGTTAGCACCCTTTCTATCCGTGGTTATCCACGGGCTCTTAGGTACTTTCTCAAAGTGTTTTCAAAATTTTGCTTTTCTTTGTGTTTGTGGGTTTGAAAGGAGTTTTCGTTTGAAAAGGTGTAAGTGCGAAAAGTTTTGTTTTGTTTTAAAAGGAGCAAGTACTTAAGAACCATCTACCTACTCGAAAAAAGGAATCGTTCTATGCTATCTTCCTTTAGACAATGCTATCCCACTATTGATGAGTAGGTAGCATCGTCGTTGGAGTTTTAAGGATCAATTCGATTAAGGGACGTGTGGTCACTAAAGCAATGTTAGGACGCCTTAGCGGTAACCCTAATGTCTTAGATCATTTTTCCGAGGCAACCGTTTCGAGACAACTATGATCTTTGGACAAGAGGGTGACCTCTAAAACTTCCTATACTCAATGACCACGTTCGAAGGCAACCAAGTGAGGTGTACCCTAAGAGTGCGCATGTGCGAGTGTGTTATTTCGGTTAATTTTACCTTTGTACATGTCATGGGTGAGCTATGTTGATTTTAAGTTCATACATTCGATCTTGTCATGCATTCCCTATTATCAAATATTTAACAGTGTATAGTTTGCGGAAATTAAATTGCGGAAATTAAATCTAAACTATTACAAGGCGTCGGGTATTTACATCGCCAAAAGGAACCCTTTAATTTAAAATGCGAAAAAATAAATAAAGCAATAAAATAAAGTCCTAATTAAAGCTATTACATTCCGGGAAACAATTACATCAGTATCATAAATGGATCGCATGCGGAAAAATTAAATCGGACGCATTTTTAGCGTTTTGACCCTTTTTGAAAGAAAGCATTTTTTTTGGTTTATTTTTGAATTAATGGAAGCAATTAAATTAGGTTAACAAATAAATAAATAAATAAATTAATTAATTAATGAAAATATTTTTGTATTTTTGGATATTTAAAGAAATAAAATAAATTGATTTAAAGTTAGTAAAAACTTAATTTTCTACATTAATTTTAAATATTGCAAAAATATTAAAAGTTAAACCTAATTAAACTAAATTAATTGAATTAATTTATTTACAAAAATAAAATGATGAATTTAATTTTAATAAATAAAATATATTTTTTGGTTTTTGATTTTTATGAGGAAAAGATTTTAATTGGTTAGTGATAATAAAAATAATAATTAACAAAACAAATAAATAAATAAAAAAGAAGAAAGGAATAACCAAGGGGTTTTGGGCCTGATTTGGGGGTGAAACCAGCATTTTTGAGGCCCAAACGTGTTCAAGCTGGTTGACTTTCCAGATTCTCCATGGCACGTTGACTAGGCAATAGGATGCACGTTCCATCCTGGCCACCAGATCTGGCCTGGGGCCATCTGGCGTTTGGAGATTTGAAGGAGTATGATGGACCATGCCATTGGCTTTGCACTGGAATATCTGAAAGAAAAATACAAGAAATATGTTGGGGACCTGGGATTCGAACCCAGGTCCTGCAGGCCAATGCAAGCGTTCCACTACCACTAAGCCAACGTGTTTTACTTGTTAGTGTAATAGGTAGAAAATATTATATGGAAAAACAATTATTATGCCCGAAAATAAAAAAACAAGCGCGGAAATTTGAATGAGCGTATGGGATGGGGACACGTCTTCGTCCCTGTCCTTGGATTTCTACAGGGATTACCTGCGGATTCGTATCCGCAGCAAAAAGCGTAGGTTGAACCTAAAACCAAATCCAGGCCATGAAAATTCAATCTGAAGCCATGGTCATGTTCGTCTCTCCCTCCTGAACACGCCTATGTCCATCATTTGCCTTAATTTCACCTGTAGCAAAAATGCCCAAAAACGAATACCAAGAACCCTAGAATCGGCTAGGGGGTTACAGGCCATGAAAATGCAATTCAATATTGCAAAAAGCTTCTAAATGGAACGATAAGCATGATTGTGTAACGATTTTGCCAAGAAAATGCCAGAATATGAGTATGCGATTTCAAATACAGGGCAAGGTTTAGAGAGACTTACAGCGCGATTAATCGCGACTTTATCGTCTAAATTAATCGGGAGACTGCAAGTATACAGCCCTATCGCGTAGTTTTAAAAGATATCGAACCTAAGGGACTATAAATCGAACTAACGTAACCTAAACTACTGTGTAAAGCTATAGCTATCGAATAATTGATTAGGGGAATTTTTGGGTAATAAAACTTAATTCTAATTGAAGTTATAATAATGCGAATATCGGTATGTACTTCGTTAACATTTAAAGAATCCGGCTTTCCACTGGCTTATTTTCAAAAAAAATGGTAATAATATCTTTTTCAGCAAAAAGTATTTATTCAAAAATCTATTCTCAAACTTTCGCTCTATTGAAGTAAATTATAATTTTAAACTCTGATG